ATCAAATCCCATAACTACTGGGTGGGCAATCCACAAGCCGGAGAACAATAGCACCAGAGAAGATAGCCCAAGAGATACAGATTCAGGGTCAAAAATGAGGGAGGCTTATATGGGCAAAAACCACAAAGTTAACCTAAGTTGTCAGGACTTAGGATTAGAAATAGCAAAAAGTAAGGATGCTTGTTAGGTAAGGATTGGTTGGCCATCACGATAAAATCAAATCCCATACCTACTGGGTGGGCGACCCACAAGCTGGAGAATAGACACCAGAGAAGTTCTCCCACTGTTGGGAAGATTCTGAGCCCCACATCAGGCTCCCCAGCCTGGGGATCCGGCAGAGGGACAGGGAATCCCCGGGGAATCTGACTTCGAAGGCCAGTGGGATTTGATTGCAGGACTTCCACAGGTCTGGGGGAAACCGAGACTCCACTCTTGGAGGGCACGGACAAATACCAAGACCCAGGGCAAAGGAGCAGTGACTCCGCAAAGACTGAACCAGACCTACCTGCTGGTGTTGGAGGGTCTCTTGCAGAGGCGTGGGTCGACAGTAGCGCTCTGTGGGGACACGGACTCTGGCAGTAGCAGCGTCCTACACTGCTCTTATAGGTCATCGTTAACCCTATCATAGGGTTTTTAGATTCCTGGGCTGGATCACCTCAGGCCAAACAACTAACTGGGAGGGATTGAAGCCACACCCATCAGCAGACAATCTGATTAAAGTTTTATGGAGATTTTCTGCCGACCAGAGAAAATAAGATGATTTTTCATAAAGACATTTCGTTAAAATGTGTTTGTTTCTTAAAATTACTGTTTTAAAAATCTTCTCTTTTTAATTCTAATATGGTAACTAGTGCTAGATATAACCCACATAAACACAGTTCTTTGAGTTACACAATAATATTTGAGACTATAAAGTGGTCCAGGGACTAAAAAGTTTGATAACAGTTGCCCTGAACTCAGGAAATACCTCTGCTCGCCCCACCTTCCTTGCAAACTCCAGCTGAAGGTGTGGATTAGCACAGAGTGTCAATCCTGAATCACTGTAACACTCATGTTTCTTTTCTATTTTTAAGATTTCTTTATTTTATTATTATTATTATTTTTTTTTTTTTTTGGCTGTGCTGGGTCTTGCAGTGCATAGGCTTTCTCTAGTGGGTGAGCTGGACCTACTCTTGTTCCCTGCACGGGCTTCTCATTGGGGTTGCTTCTCTTGTTTTAGAGCACAGGCTCCAGAGTCTGAACCCAGTAGTTTTGGTACGCGAGGTTAGTTGCTCTGTGGCATAAGGGATCTTCCCAGACTGAGGATCAAACTTGTGTCCCCCTGCAGTGGCAGACAAATTCTTAACCACTGGACCACCAGGGAAGCCCATTGCTCTTCTATTTCCAAATTCTAGAGACCTTTCTGGGATGGATACCTTCCCCAAACTGTATAATAGGGAAATTACATTTCAAAAAGTTATAACCTTCATATTAAATTGGGATTACTTCTTCCTTCCAGAAAAACAGTTATCCTTCCTAACCAACCCTTCAAGCCGCTGCTTTAAGCAATATTTGGTCTTTACCTTCCAACCAAACCTTAAACTCTAGTTCATCTCTGAGTTCTTTTCTTGTTTTACTTCTTAGCAAAAGCTACATATATTACTTAAAAATGTGTTTTGGCTTTGTGTGATGTTTATTGAATTCCTTTGTTTTTTTCCAATTTCAAAAGTAACAGTTTTTTTTTGTTAAAAAAAAAAGCAAATTTTTTAAAAAGACCAATATTACAGAAATAGATAACCATGTTTAGGTTGATAAATATTCCTCAAGATTTTTCTATGAATATGATTAAATATGTTTACCCAACTCTGAACATATTATAGATTTGCCACTTTGTAGCCAGCTATTTTTACTTCTGAATCTTTCTGATTTTGGTCTTTATGAGAACATTTAAGTAATTCTTAGACAGGCATAGTAATTTATAAATTTATATTTAAAGTAAATTAATGAAAAACATTTTAAATAGGATATCTTAAAATGTCATTACATAACTCAGTAACTATTCATTTTCCACTTGTGAGTATACATAGTTTTCTCTTTTCATTTCATAATCTACAAATAATACCCACCATTCAAGGATCCCAACCAGAATCGTTTTCTGTGCTTCTAAGCATCCTTTATAGACATGAAACCCGAGGAGCCCTGATTTTTCTGGGACTTATGATTTCAAATAATTTTATCTCCTTTTTATATTTTCTTAAACTTTTAGTGGAAATTTGCATTTCATCGTTACATCATTTATTAAAACACTTATCCATCTTTTGTTTCTGGTAAACTAAAAAAGAAAAGCAGAGATTGAAGAACTGTTTTCATGTTTGGAGTAGCTGATTAAGGAGCTGTTTTATGCTTATAAAAGTGCAAGGCTCCTCTTTGGAGAAACATCTAACTGCAGGGCCAGGGCAGGAAATATACAAGATGAGTCTGGAAACATCTTGTAGTGTGACAAAGTAAGGAAGTGCTCAAAAATAAAAACATCCACATTGATAGGAGTAGGTCAAAGGACACAGAAGCCAACTGAAAAAGCTCCCGAGTCAGAACTAGAACAATGTAACCAAGAAAACAAGTCAAAGATGATAACCCAAAGTAGAAAGTAAATATCCAAGAAAAGTGAAAGTGAAAGTCACTTAGTCATGTCTGACTCCTTGTGATCCCATGGACTATATAGTCCATGGAATTCTCAAGGCCAGAATACTGGAGTGGGTAGCCTTTCCCTTCTTCAGGGGATCTGCCCAACTCAGGGATAAAACCCATGTCTCCCGCATTGCAGGCAGATACTTTACCAGCTGAGCCACAAAGGAAGCCTGAACTATCCATAGGTCCATACTAATATAAAGGAATGACTGAATAAGCCTTATATGAGGGGAAAAAAGCAATCTCAGGCAGGAGAATGCCAAATAAATTACGTAGGTATTCCACCTAAAGGAAAGGGACCGTAAGTCCCTGCTTCTTAAGTATAGGCCAAGAAAAGTGATTTCCTTCCAAAGAATACAGTACAAAAAGGGAATTCAAAAGGGAAAATCTCTAGTGGAGAAACATGACAAATGTCATATTAGCCAGATGATGGTCAACATTGATAATGACAGCTCATTGCTAATCCTATATCCCCTTGGTGTGATGAGACAGGACTGGCCCTTTTACTGTGATCATCCTACCCCAAACTCCAAATTTCAGTCTAACCACGAGAAAGATTCTAATACAGGGAGGAGCATTCTACAAAATACTTGCCCAGTACACCTCAAAACTGTCAAGGTCATCAAAAACAAGATAAGTTGTATCTCAATAAATCTGCACAGAAAACAAAAACAGAAACAAGATAAGTCTGAGAAACTGTCACAGCCAAGTGACATTACTGCTGAATGTAACATGGGGTTTCTGGAGAGGATCCTGGGTCAGAAAAAAGACATTAGGTAAAAACTAAGGAAAATTTCAAATATATACTAATAATAATATATCAAAATACATTCACTAATTGTAACAAATGTGCCATCTCAATGTAAGATGTTAAAGGGGAAAACCAGGGATGGGGGAAGAGAGGAGTTGGGAACTATTATCTGCTCAGCTTCTGTGTAAATCTAAAGCTATTCTAAAAAATAAAGTCTGTTAATTAAAAATAAGAATAAAAACCTCATCTAAATGTACAGTTAAATAAAGAAAAAGTCTAGGGTCTCTAATCAGAAAAGCTAAGAGCACTTAAGACTTTTCCATATGGGGAAGTGGAACCAGATGCCAAGTTTATATGTAGATAATTCTGGTTGAAAGTTATTTAAAAAGAAAAGGAAAAGTATCCTCTTTTAAATTAGAAAAAAAATTGCTTTAATTAAAAAAAAATTACCTCCGAATCCTTTATATTTCTTTGCAGTCACATTCAGACAGGTAATTTAACAAAATCAAAGCTGTGTCAAATGAGAGCTTATTTCAAAGAAATACACTCACAGCATTGTAAATCAACTATTCAATAAAAATTTTTTTAAATAAGAAAGAGAAATGAAATATCTATAAAGTTCCCTGTCTGAGATAATGCATTTAGAAGGTGATTTCCCAGAATTGGGAACCAAGAGTGACTCTGAGTAATGGATTACAATAAATAATATGTGATATATGAAAGAGAGATGACATTTTTCTCAACTGTTATATCATATTAAAAATATGTGTGTCACTAGAGTGGAAATGAATCATGATTCACCCAAAGAAGTGTGATGAGAGAAGATGGGAAAACTTGTAACTTAATGAAAATAAGAAATGTGGTCCATCCCATTCTAGGAGAAAGGGATCAAAGAAGCAGAGCAAATCAAATATGGCAGTCTGGAAGGAAGGAAGGCAGCTAATTTTGTGAAAGAGTAAATGGCAAAGCATCACCAACTCAATGGACATGAGTTTGAGCAAACTCCAGGAGATAGTGCATGGGGTCGCAAAGAGTCGGACACGACTTAGTGACTGAACAACAGCCACAACAAATGGCAAAGACACAATCTCTGAGCGAAAGAAGGAGGTCAATTCATAAAGTCAAATTGTGCAGAGTGGGTCCTAAGTGCTTCATCTGCTCAACACCAATGTTGAAGATAAGAACTGTGCACCATTATGCAACTGGATTTCTAAAGCAGCATATTTATTAATAGGTAGGGCAAGGTCATGTCCACTCTTTGTGACTCCATGGACTGTAGCCCACCAGATCTCCTGTGTATGGAATTCTCCAGGCAAGAATACTGGAGTGGGTAGCCATTCCCTTCTCTAGGGGATCCTCCCAATCCTCCCAGGATCGAACTCTGGTCTCCCACATTGCAGGCAGATTCTTTACAGTCTGAGCCACCAGGGAACCCCATGGCAAGGATAAGAGCCAGTAAATAGAGTGCAAGTCAAATAAGGAAACAAAAAAAAGAATTTGACCCTTTTAACCTTAAAGTTTGCTTGTCTAGATCTCTATGGATGAACAAATAAGACCAATATACTAAGAACTACATGATGGTTTAATGTTTAATAAAAATATTCATGTATCACAACAACTTATAAAAAAAAGTCAGCAACTGCTTGCTTCCCAAAAGATGTATTATGCTAGTAAAAAAAACAAAAGAGAGAGAGAGAGAAAGTGACATTCACATAGTCATACAATGTGTAAGTAGTCTTAGAAATTAGCATGTATAGCCTCTACTATTCTTAACAAATACCCACTTTGTAACCTGGATCCTCATCATATTTTCCTTATGACTGTTTAGGAAGATAGGAAAGATGAGAAGCCTGACTCTTTGCACTGTTTTACATTGTTTTCATTTAATTTTAAATTATCATGCAGTAACATTGATTAGGGGAGAGATATACATTTTTTTTTTACCAATTTGAACACTGCTTAAAGACTTTTTGATGTGGAGCATTATTAAAGTCTTTATTGAATTTGTTACTATATTGCATCTGTTGTCTGTTTTGTTTTTTGTTATGTTTTGATTTTCCCAAGGCATGTGAGATTTAGCTCCCCAACCAGGGATTGAGCCTGCACTCACCTTCACTGGAAGCCAAAGTCTTAGTCACTGAACTGCCAGGGAAGTCCCTAACAACACTGTTTAGATCTGTGGCGCCGCCACCACCACGGGATTCAAAAGAGCTCCATCACCCTGACAAGCTCTCTCTCACTACTTGTTTATATCACTCTACTTTCCATGTCATCCTGGGTTCTCATCCAAGTTCTTTCTCATGTATGTTTTCCTCCAATTTACCTAGTCTTTTCTGACCAGTTGATCCCATAAAAGAACAGGGGAGCAGGACAATGGCTATATGCGTAAATGGGTACCTGGTGGACCCGGGAGAAGGAGGAGGAGGAGAAAATGAGAGGAGAGGTCTCCTGGGTGGAAGGGAAGCAGAGAGTGTATTTACAACAGTGTTCAGTCTTCCATCTGAGCAGCTCTCATAACCTTCAAGGAAGTCTCAGGTCTCTCATCCACAAAAACCAGGAGTTGGAGAAGTTAGACTTGTTTGAGAGATACAATACCTGGAAGTCAAGATAAGTGACATATAACCTTATGTGAGTTTAAAGTGTACAACCTGTCAGTTTGATACACTTACATGTTGTGAAATGGTTATCACCATAGCTTGGCTAACACCTCCATCAACTCACAAAGTTACCATTTCCTTTTTGTAGTGAGAACATTTAAGATCTACTGTCTTAGCAACTTTTGATATATAGGACAGTAGTGTTAGCTATAATCACCATGCTGTGCATTAGATCCCCAGAACATATTCATCTTATAACTGGAAGTATGACCCTCTGACCAATAGCTCCCCATTTCCCCACCCCATAGCCCCTGGGAACTACCACTTGACTATCAGATGTTTTAAATTCCACATGTTAAGTGAGAATACACAATATTTCTTTCTCTATTATTTTATTTGTTTCATCCAAGTTGTCATGAATGGCAGGATTTCCTTCTTTCTCACGGAAATGTTACCAAAAGCTCAGCATCTCTGTATAACAGTGCTGAATCAAATCCCAGGGATAGAATTTTGGGTGAAGAAGAAAAGGACAACTTCATAGCTTTGCCAGGCAAAGGAAGACACACTGGTCTTCAGCCTCAAAAAACTGCATATCCACCCTAAAGAATTTGATGAGGGTTTTTAAAACAGTGGGCCAAAGGTGGGGTCTGACAAGATCAGGATGTGAGCAGACCTCTGTTATTGTTGGTTTTTCAGTCATGTCAGTTTTTGCAACCCCATGGACTGCAGCATGCCAGGCTTCCCTGTCCTTTACCATCTCCCAGAGTTTGCTCAAACTCATGTCCATCGAATCATTGATGCCATCCAACCATCTCATCCTCTGTCATCCCCTTCTCTTCCTGCCTTCAATCTTTCCCAGCATCAGGGTCTTTTCCAACGAGTTGGCTCTTCACATCAAGTAGTCAAAGTATTGGAGTTTCAGCTTCATCATCTGTCCTTCCAGTGAATATTCAGGGTTTCTTTCTTTTAGGATCGACTACTGTGATCTCCTTGCAGTCCAAGGGACTCTCAAGAGTCTTCAGCACCACAGTTCCAAAGTGTCTCCTTGCACTCCCTTAATCTCATTTTAGGAGGTCCCTCTCCTAATCCTGATAAGCTTCTCTGGTCCCTTTAAGCTGCCTCAGGTGATTTCATGGCTGCTCCTCCTTGATTAGCAACTGTTCTTATCCATCCTTTGGAAGTCAGGGGAGGAGTCTTGCCTACAAGAAATGGGAGACAGAAAAAAAAAAAAAAGAAAGAAAGAAAGAAAGAAATGGGAGACAGAAAGGCCCCAATCCTTGGGAACTCCACAGGGTCTTGCTTGGTTTCAGAGACTTGGCAATATTCTCATCTCCTCCAGGAAGTCTCCCCTTCTAGGTCTATTGAAGCTCCTCACCTTTGAGCTTTCATAGCTTTAATAATTGTGACGTGCAACACAACACAAATGGTTGTATTGGTCAGTCTTCTGAATCTGAATGATGAGCACGCCTGGGAGAATGATGGTGAATAGTCACAGACTCGCCATAGTGCCAGGACAATTCTGAGGTCATTATGAAAGTGAAAGTCGCTCCGTTGTGTCCAACTCTTTGTGACCCTGTGGATTGTATAGTCCATGGAATTCTCCAGGCCAGAATACTGAAGTGGGTAGCCTTTTCCTTCTCCAGGGGATCTTCCCAACCCAGGAATAGAACTCAGGTCTCCCACATTGCAGGTGGATTCTTTACCAACTGAGCCATCAGGGAAGCCCCATTATGGAAGTTTATAAATACTTATGGTTAACTGCTAAGTATAATCACTTTTTTATTGACTGGTTCCCCAACCAGGATAGAAGCAACACCCCCTGCAGTGGAAGCACCTTGGGCTGATGGGAAGTCACCTGCAGGCAGCATCTTTTTTATTTACAAATATGTTGTTTATTCATTAATTTAACTAAACAAGTATCAAGAGAGTCTATTTTTTCTTGCACCTTATTCTAGACTCTGAGATACCAGAGAAAATCATACAGTTACTGCACCTAGGAACCTACTATTGACTTTGTTGTTTAGTCTCAAAGTCTTGTCTGACTCTTTTGTGGCCCAATGGACTGTAGCCCGCCAGGCTCCTTCATCCATGGGATTCCCCAGGCAAGAATACTGGAGGGATCTTCCCAACCCAGGGATTGAACCCGTATCTCCTGCATTGGCAGGAGAGTTCTTCACCACTGAGCCACCAGGGAAGCAAAGCAATTGACTTAATACAAGTATTTCTCACTATTCAACCTCATGATAGATGGGAGAAGGATGGGAGAGATATCCAAGAAGGGGATATAGGTACACATATAGCTGATTCACTTCATGTATAGCAGAAACCAACACAAAAGCAACCTGGACTTCCCTGTTAGCACAGTGGATAGGAATCCACCTACCAATGCATATTTGTTCCCTGGTCCAGGAAGATTCCACATGCCGTGGAGCAAAGACCCGTGCTAAGTCACTTCAGTCATGTCCAATGCTTTGCCACCCTATAGACTGTAGCCCGCCAGGCTGCTCTGTCCATGGGATTCTCCAGGCAAGGATATTGGAGTGAGTAAATAAATAAATATAGCTGTGTGCACATGTCAAAAAAAGTTTTTTAAAGAAATATATACAGTCCTGTGGGACTGCAGTGTAAACCCTGCTGGCCTCCAGACAAGTTGATCTTGAGGTGTCCCCATGGTAAAGTTGCAAAATTTGGGGCTCCAGAGGAATGTATGTACTTTTCTGGGAGACGTTGGTGAGCTGCAGGGAGGCCAAGGGAGCACGCACAGATGACCTCTGCCCCCTGAGAGCACCGCTGGAGTCTCTAGACGTGTGGTAAACCTGAAGCCTGCCCCTCAGGCTGAAGTAAATAATAAAAGACAGGACCAGTAAATAGGCCTTTTTCATGAGAAGACTGTGGGCACTTTTCAGCATGCTGCCCTGGGAGTGGCAGCATGACCACCATGAGACACCCCCCAACAGGCCTTTGCCCCACTGGCAGATGATTTACAATAAGCAAATGAATCTCCTTCTCATGGGGTCTAGACACTTTTCACATTGCTGCTTTTGCACTGCGTCCTGAGGTGAATACGTTTGCACTTGAGCCATTTAAGAGCGGGGCTCTCAGCTCCCTCCAGCCTTTTGGGTCTCCTGGAGGTAAGCCCCACTGGTCTTCTAAGCCAGATGTTCTGGGGGCTCATTTCTTTGGTACTGGTCCCAATGGCTGTGGTGACTGCTGTGGGGTGTGAACCCCTTGCTGCCTAGGGAAAAGCTCCGTAGTTGTGATTGTGGGTCACCACGCTGTGGGTGGAGTATTTCTCTTCCCCACCTCCGTGTGGCCCTTTTATCCTTTGTTGTGCAGAAACCGCTCAGCTAGTTTCCAGACCTTTTTCAGAGGGAATGGTTCCACAAGCAGCTGGGGGTTTGGTGTGTCTGTGGGAGGAGGCGAGTTCAGGGTCTTCCTACACCACCATGTTGAACTGCCTCTTCAATTCTATTTTTAAAAATTGAAAGCACAAATTGTTTAAAAATTTGTGGGAAGAGAAAGAGAAAATTGAAATACTAGGTCTCTGAGCCTAATGCCTTTTACTAATTAAGATAATTATTTTTCACCTTTAGTGATGTGTGTGGTGTCAGTCACTAAGTCATTTCCAGCTCTTTGTGACTCCAGGGACTATAGCCCACCAGGCTTCTCTGTCCTTGGGGTTTCCAGGCAAGAATACTGGAGTGGGTTGCTATTTCATTCTCCAGGGCATCTTCCCAACTCAGGGATTGAACCTGCATCTCCTGCATTGCAGGTGGATTTTTAACCACTGAGCTAGTGGTGAAGTGAAAGTCGCTCAGTCGTGTCCAACTCTTTGTGACCCCATGGACTATACAGTCCATGGAATTCTCCAGGCCAGAATACTGGAGTGGGTAGCCTTTCCCTTCTCCAGGGGATCTTCCCAATCCAGGGATTGAACCCAGGTCTCCCACATTGCAGGCAGATTCTTAAATCCAGCATACAAAGACTAGACTAGACTAGACTAGAAGAATCCTAAGTCTACTTCCATGTTCCACATTTTACAATTCTATGTATAGGCTTTACCTATCAGTGCTAGGAAAGAATATATAAATTATAAAGGTGATGATTGATAGCTGGAAAGAAAGACAACTTAAACTATAGCAATTGATCTTAAAATAAGACATTTTTCAAGCAGTTTAAAATGTGTTTGAAATATATATAAATATATACATATACATTAGAAAGATGGGAATACCAGATCACCTTACCTGCCTCCTGAGAAACCTGTATGCAGGTCAAGAAACAACAGTTAGAACTGGACATGGAGAAATGGACTGGTTCAAAACTGGGAAAGGAGTAGGACAAGGCTATATGTTGTCACCCTGCTTATTTAACTTATGTGCAGAGTACATCATGTGGAATGCCAGGCTGGATGAATCACATGCTGGAATCAAGATTGCCAGGAGAAATACCAACAGCCTCTCATGTGCAGATGGCACCACTCTAACAGCAGAAAGTGAAGAGGAACTAAAGAGCCTCTTGATGAAGGCAGAAGAGGAGAGTGAAAAAGCTGGCTTAAAACTCAACATTCAAAAAACTAAGATTATAAAAAAAAAAAAAAAAACTAAGATTATGGCATCTAGTCCCACCACTTCATGGCAAATAGAAAAGGAAAAAGTGGAAAGTGATAGATTTTATTTTCTTGGGCTCCAAAAATCACTGTGGATGGTGACTGCAGCCATGAAGCTAAAAGACACTTGCTGTGCTGAATAAAAGTGGCCAGAGTGGGCATCCTTATCTTATTCCTGATACAGGAAATGCTTTCAGCTTTTCAACATTGAGTATAATGTTAGCTGTGGGTTTGTCATATGTGGCCTTTATTATGTTGACATGTGTTCCCTCTGTGCCCACTCTCTGCAGAATTTCTGTCATAAATGGATGTTGAGCAGCTGCTTTTGACACTGGTAGGAGCAGAGCTAGTGTTCAGTTTATTGCTCTAATTCTAGCACACCAAACAGA